ATGGGACGTGACAAGTCATAAAAGAATAGAAATTCAGCAGGTTTCCACAAACACATCTGCCCTGTGCCCTTCTGAAAGGCCAAGCTCCTTCCACCTTCACCACATCAAAGGATGCTGAGGTAACCCTGCAGGCCTGGGGTGGGGAGAGCTGCTTGGAAACACCTCACCTTTCAAGCAGCTCCTTCCAAAAAAGTAAATATTGCCAAGCCAAATTTACCGTAACTGCACTGAATACAGGACAGCTTCTCTTCAGAATTTCACAACAGAATATGGGACATCAAAGGCCACAGATTCCACATTTTGCTTCTAGACACTTACATTCTGTGTAAGCAGTACCTGATAGGGCTGGGAAGTCAAACAGAGACAGAAATCAGTGGGTCTGTGGGTGCATCACTGAATAACCCACCACATGTATCCCTCGTGAGAAACAGCTGCCTGCTTCCATACATCTGGTCTCAGTCACCTCAAGCCTAAAGCTAAATATCCTCTTTATCTAAGCACCTAAAAACCAAAAATTGTCCAAGCAGAAAGGAATGGACACCTACAAATACACCCTCACAAGGTGAAGAACGTCCAAGTCTGTAAAAATGGTGATAGTCCCAGTTTTTCAGAGCAGAGCTGCCTGCCTGCTGTGCATCCCAGCTGGGCACTGCACAGTTCCAGTGTTGGTGTTGACAATCAAACATTTAGAGGGGCAGAAAGTGGGACAGCTTCAAGAGAGGAACCCGAGAGCTGCTCTGGGCCTCGCTGGGGTGCTGAGAGCTCTCCCTGTCGGTGGCCACGCTCTCTCCTTTCACCAAATCTGCCTCTTCTGGGGGCAATTTGTCACTGAGGTCACACGTGGGAACCCAGGGCTTCCCTCTGGCTGCCCTGGCAGGTCTGGGACCCTGGCAGGGGTCAGGAACCCCCCTGGACAGAGCCCCCAGAGACACTGGCTGTGATCTCTGTCCATGGAAAAGAGTTTTCAATCTTACAGGATCAATTACCAGCTCTGAGTGTTTGATATCAGTAATAATTAAGTGTGGCACGGGTGCAAAAGTAAAATTTTAGGATTCTAGATGAGGGGTGCAAAGGGGACAAGCTGGAGGAAATTGGGTGTGCCTTGTCCTTTTTCTCCTTCTTCATGCCCTCCAGGTTTCACTGTGCTGTTGGCATTTTTCTGTTGGTTCAGGCTGGGGACACACTGTCCAACGTAGGTGACAGATATTGGCACGTTCTTGTAAATGCAGCCCAGGGAGTTTCTGGTATTTAATGTTTGTCACATCCCACTGAGGGCAGAGCCCCACACGCTGCCCTGCAGGACAGAGCTGGGCAGGGCAGCAGAACATGTTAGAGATAAACAGAATAAACAACCTGGAAACCAGCACAGACCAATTATGGCTTCTGCTTTGGCAGCAGGGCCAACAGACAGAGACTTTCTACAATCTCAGGATCATTTAACTATCACAGATTCCAACAGTCCCACACGGATATGTCTCTCCTCTGCTCTGCTAGGTCCCAAAAGCTCCTGGGAGCAGCTTGCCCCCAAGCTGTCCCAGCCCCTGCAGCACAGAGGGAGAGCGGGCAGTGCCCGAGGCGTGGCCGGAGCGGTGCCACAGGTACGAGCGGGCTCCCCAGCCACCCCCAGGAGAGACCAGGGCGATGCTTTGGGCTCAGCTCCCTGCACAGCATCCACAGCCCCTCCTGGGCCTCTCTCAGCTCTGTGTAACCTCCCAGAGAGGCTGCACCAGAGCACACGTGGCACTTGGCACCTGCCTCGTGGCTGTGCCCGCTCTCCCTGCGGCCCAGGCAGCGCTGACACTCACTTGCTTTGGTTTTAGGGTTCTGAGGAGCAGCAGAGGAGCAAGGAAATCCTGGTGGAAACACCTGGGCTGGCTGCCCTGCAGAGGTACAGGAATAGCCCCCCATCCCCTGCCCTGTCAGGATCTTCCTCCTATTTCACCACTGCAGGTTTAGTTCAGGGAGTTGAGGAATGAACTTTCCCCTTTTAGACCTTAGTTAGACAAAAGGCCAAGTTTGGTCCTTTGGGAAAACCACTGAATTTTTCATGGCAAACATGCCATATTTTACATCTCTAACAAAAAGCTTCTGTTGTTCAAAATGTCACTTATTTATGTGAAAGTTTTCCCGACAGCAAGCCAAGGCCTAAGAGTTTGTAACCATTGAAGGAGCTCTTTGCAGTTCTATTAAATGGAGAACACCTCCAGGAAACTGATGCCTGGGTGGGAGGTTTCACTAACAGCACTTTTCCACTCAGTCTTCTGGCAAGCCAAGACCCAAATAGCTAATGAAAAAAAAAACCCAAGCAGCTTATTTTTAATCAAAGAAGTAGGACAAAGTACTTACCAGACAGCCCTGGTTTAAAATGAAAAAGCTAAAAAAGGCCATTAATTCTCTTCAAGGCACCTTCAGGCTGGGAAAGCACAGCAGCAGTTTGGGCAGTGGGCTGGTCTGGGTGCCCACAGTCAGCCGGGGCCTCATCCACCTCAAGGACATTCCCAAACATGAACCTCCTGTGCCCTGGTCTGAGCCCTGCCTGCCAAGCGGGGCTGCTGCTGGGCTGAGGGGCTCTCTGCTCCCCAGGCTGAGCCCAGCTGGGGAGGCTGGAGCTCCTGTCTCTGCCTGCTGCACCCTGCGTGTCAGGTCCGAGAGCGGGGAGCGGACCTACGAGCTGAGCATGCTGCTCACGGACACCATCGGGGACCTGCGCCAGCACCTCACCCACATCAGGTAGCCCAGCACCCCCTCCCCGCCTTGCCTGACTCCGTGGGACCCCTGAAAAGGCTTCTTGAGGCCCTGGAGCTTCAAACAGCAGCCTGAGCTGGGTCACAGCCCCGTGTCCACCCGACGCTCTCCAGGCAGCAGTGCCAGGGTCCTGAGAAGCTCAGAGCATTTCATACCCACCTCTGCCACACAGCAACAGAGATGAACTTTTGTGCTCCCAAAACTGCCATCAGATCCAGGCCCATGGCTGCCTCTGCCTCCTTCCAACACTCACCCAGCTGGTGCCACCCTTCCCAAGGTGCTGGAAGCCAAGCTGCAGCCTTTGCTTTGTGTCCCAAAGCGTCTAATGCTGCCTCAGGGCTCCCTCAGCCTGTTGGGGACAGCTCCAGAAGGCTGAGGGCCCCCTTTGCTGTCCCCTCTTCCCACTCCTGCCACAGGCCTGGCCCAGGGCGAGCCCAGGATGAGCTCAGTGCTGCTGGGATGCACGAGCCTCCTTCCTCCCCACGGCAGCTGCGCAGCTGGCCAGGCTGCAGTTTGGGCTGGAAGCCCTTTTTTCTGCTCTTGCATAACCACAGCTGGATCAGTCAAAGCCTCTCAGCAAATCCTTGGGGAATCCCAGGAGTAGAAGATTGTGCTGTTCTTTCCTAGGGGTGGAAACTCGGACTATGAGATCATCAGCACCTTTCCCCAGAGGGTGTACACTGACAGCTCCAGGAGCCTGCAGGAATGTGGGCTGGTCCCCAGGGCCTCTCTGCTGCTCCGCAGGAGAAACTCATCCCAGCAGGAGGGGAGGGGGCTGCAGACACCCTGAAGTGCTCACCCCCAGCCCTGCACAGGGAGGGAGCTGCCTCTCACCTTACCCGACCTGCCCTGGCTGGGAAAAAGGGAGAGGTTTTCTTTCCAGATTCAGTTTCACTGTGCCACTACCTGGGACTGAGAAGAGCTGGGAGCAGCCACTGGGCCACTGCCGTTGGCACAGGGGGCCAGGCCCGGTCCTGCTGCCCCCAGGACAGCTGGTCCCAGCACAGGGACACTTCCACCAGCTCTCCTCATCTCTGTGCAGGGTTACACAGGCTGACCCAGCCCAGGGGAGCCTGTCAGCCTCAGCCCAGCACGGGGCAGCTGCTTAGCAGTGCTCAGGGACTGGAGCAGCAGGATGGACACACAGCCAGGGGCAGTTTGCTTTCTGCACACAGCAGCTCCCTACAGATCTCACCTGCTCTGACAGCAGGGCACAAACAGGCTCTGTTCCACAGCCTCTGCTGGAGCTAAACCTGAAGGCCTCGAGCCATTGCAGTGCTGGGGCTGAGCCAGGCTCGGCTCAGCCCTGCTCCTGGGTTTCCTGTACGTGCACGGCTCCTTCCCTTGGACAGCCCCCAGCTGCAGCGGCCCCGGCTCCAGCCTGCCTGGAGGTACCCGCCCTCCTCCTCCCGCTGCTGGATGCTGCAACAGGACACCGTGTCATTGGAGACAGCATAATCCCTCCGTGCTCTCTGCCCAACCCTGAACAAAGCATCTTCCTCCCCGTCCACTGGGCTGGGGCTGCACTTTTCCCTTTTCCTTTCCCCAGCACATTCTTCCCATTCCAGCTGTGACAAGCTCTCACTTGACTCCCAGCTGACAACACTCCCACTCACACGAGGCACGGCCTTCTGGCAGGTTCCCTCTTTGCACAGACCCAGCCCTCATTAAAGGCTCCCAATAAAACCCTTTATTTCAGTATTTCAGCTGCCATTTCCACTTCCTTTAGATTTCAAAGGCACGGTTGCTGTGGAAGCTCAGAGCTCTTCCCAGACCCCTCTAACCAGAGCAGCACAACTCAAACACAGGAAGCAAACCAGCAATTTCCACAGCTCCCCGTGAGCAGTGACTCAACCCACACAGCTCTCCCTCAGCTTCCTCCTTTTTCCACCTGTAGCACATTCAGGAGCAGCTGTTTCCCCTGCCCCTCTGTATCCTGGTCTAATCTGTGTGCCAGAGGTTTGTTTTGCACTCCCACGTCTGGCTGAGGCTATCCCTGCCCCGGGCTGCCACCATCAGCAGGCAGAGGAGAGGAATGCTCTGGTACCTGTCACTGCTGGCCGTAGGACATTCAGACACGTCCTGGGAGCCTTTGATTAGCAGCAGCAATCTAGGGTGTTAAGATCTTTGTGTCAGGCTGCAGCAGCAGGTACAACCCACTCAGCTGGAAATGACTCACGATCCTTAGGGAGGGTGATGTTTAACCTGTAGCCAAAATAAAGCCGAATTTAAAAGAAACGCAAGAGTAGCGCTGTGAAAGGTACAGTAACATTTAATAGCATCTCGGAAGACAACACTGGTTATAAACTTGCTTTTTGGCAGGAAAACAAAATGCACTTGGTCCAGGATTGCAAAAAAGCCAACACAAAGAGGAAAGATGGGACAGCTGGAGCATCAGCTGTTCTGGGGCAGCCCTGAGCCATTAATGCTCACCAGGGAGCCTGGTCAGGGTGGAGGGCGGCCAGAGCAGCACAGATCCCACTTCCAGCCCCACCCGTTCCCCAGGCAGCCTTTGCCCCCAGCTCCACCGTGCTGGGCACTCAGACCCAAATTCTGTGCAGTATTTTTGCATTAAATTAAGACAAAAAAAAAAACCAAAACAAAACCACCCTTACTTAGTTGCCATAATCTCTGCAATTGAGATGAAGGGGGGGGGGGGAAAGATATAAAAAAAAAAAAGAGGAAGTGAGGCAGCAGAATTTACAATTTTAACAGCAACTGGGAGAAGTGGGAAGTACCACGCAGCCCTGAGCCCTTCCCTGGCGAGGCAGGGCAGGGGGCTGAGGGCCAGGATCACCTCGCACGGCCCCGGAGGCTTTGCTGTTTACAGAGGCACTGGAAGCTGCCGTGAGCCAGGCCCAGCTCTGCTCACAGCCCAAGCAGCGAGCATCACGCTTTCTTTGGATCCCTCCGAGATGATTCCGGGGTAGGCGGGAGGGAGTCGGAGGCAGCTGCAATGAGGAATTTTGGTCATGGGTTTTTCCCTGTGCTGGGATACAGGTGGTGGTGCCAGGACAGCGCTGACAACCTGGAGGTGAAGGTGGTCGGAGATGAGGGAGCTCAGGAATGCAGGTAGAGTCCAGGACGGGAGGGGAAGCAGGGCTCAGGCCAACTTCAGGAACTCCTGCAGAGTGTTTTGCTCCACCGCTTCCACAAAGAGCTCGTAATCCTGCAGGGAAACGCCACACGGTCGCTCACGAGGGGCCCTGAGCCCACGGCACAAACCTTTGGGTCCGCAGCCCTGGCACCGCTGCCTGTGCCAAGGATGACAGGACAAAGCGGGCACAGCCCCGCTGCCACCCAAAGCCCCCCGCCTGGCTCCCCTTTTTCCCCAGGCAAACAGCCGTGAATCCTGGCAGCGCCTGGTCCCTGCACCTCACAAGAAACGGTTTAAAAAGCATCCTGAAGGTGTGTAGCCAAGCCTAGGACAGGACACCACCCACCACCCGAGCCCAGGGTGCCAACTGGGCACGAGCCTCACCCCGCAGTACTGGTCCCCGTTGACGATCTGGGGCGGGATGGCTTTGGGGTTGCCTGCCTTCGCCCTCATCTCCTCCCGCAGAGCGTTGTCCTGGGAGATGTCCACCAGCTCGTACTTGATGTTCTTCCCGTCAAGGATTCGGGTTACTTCGCTCTGCTGGGATTTGATCTGGAAGCCGGGTGGGAAAGGCGGGTTACGGGGAGATGGAGCCCGAAGGGTGGGCACACACCCGGCTGCCAGCCGCGCTCAGCACGGTGCCGCCCCGCCTGCGAGGGGGCAGCGGGGACACCGGGGATGGGGCGGGGGGCTCCGCCGCTGCTCGGAAAGCCGGCCGGCCCGTTCCCGGCCCGGCCAGGGGCGCTCACCTCCCGGGAGCCGGTCACCGAGGTGCTGTAGACCTTGAGGGTGCTCATGGTGCGATCGCGGCCGCTCCCAGCGCCAGCCCGGCCGAGGGAGGGAGGGAGGGAGCGGGGAGGGAGCGGGCAGGCTCGGCCCGGCGGGGCGGAGGGACGGGGAGGAGCGGCGGCGCCGCATGTGACTGCGGGCGCCAATGGGGCCGGCGGGCCCGGGCATGCGGGATCGGCGGGGCCGGGCCCGGCACCGGCCGATGGGCACCGGGGAGCGCCGGCACCGCTCCCACCGGGCACCGGCACCGGCCCGATGGGCACCGGGGAGCGCCGGCACCGGCCCGATGGGCACCGGCCCGATGGGCACCGGGGAGCACCGGCACCGGCCCGATGGGCACCGGGGAGCGCCGGCACCGCTCCCACCGGGCACCGGCACCGGCCCGATGGGCACCGGGGAGCGCCGGCACCAGCCCGATGGGCACCGGGGAGCGCCGGCACCGCTCCCACCGGGCACCGGCACCGGCCCGATGGGCACCGGGGAGCACCGGCACCGGCCCGATGGGCACCGGCCCGATGGGCACCGGCCCGATGGGCACCGGGGAGCACCGGCACCGGCCCGATGGGCACCGGCCCGATGGGCACCGGGGAGCGCCGGCACCGCTCCCACCGGGCACCGGCACCGGCCCGATGGGCACCGGGGAGCACCGGCACCGGCCGATGGGCACCGGGGAGCGCCGGCACCGGCCGATGGGCACCGGGGAGCGCCGGCACCGGCCCGATGGGCACCGGGGAGCACCGGCACCGCTCCCACCGGGCACCGGCACCGCTCCCACCGGGCACCGGGGAGCGCCGGCACTGCTCCCACCGGGCACCGGCCCGATGGGCACCGGGGAGCGCCGGCACCGCTCCCACCGGGCACCGGCACCGGCCCGATGGGCACCGGCCCGATGGGCACCGGGGAGCACCGGCACCGCTCCCACCGGGCACCGGCACCGCTCCCACCGGGCACCGGCAGCAGCCCCCGGCCCCGAGCCACCGCCCCTGCCGGGAGAGGCACCGGCAGCAGCCCCGGAGCTCCTCGCTCCCCAGCCGGGAGAGCCTGGCACGAGTGGGTCAGAGCAGCTTTATTTGATATTCCAAGTACTCGATACAAACAAGCGCCGAGACAGAGGCTGGTACAAACACACCGAGCCCAGCGGGACCGGGCACAACACGGGAGCGGGGGGACGGGGAGGAAACACTCTCTGTCCCCCTGGCCTGGGGTGTTGTGTAGCTGAGGGCACAAGGTTTCCCCCGCAGCAGCAGCAGACAGCACACGGGATCACCCTCTGGCCAGGAGGATGAGGACAGGACATGTGCCCACCGAGGGACACAGGAGCTGGGCAGCCCAGCCCAGCTGCTGAGGTGGTTTCAGCCACAGTAATCTCAGAATCACCTCTGCAGGGGCAGAGGGCAAACCTGTCCCCTCACAGCACCCATGAACGAGATGTTGCACCCCCAAAGCAAAGGGGAGAAGGAGATGGTGCCCAAACCCCCTAAGAACCTGCAGGAGCCAGCAGAGCTCCTGGCAGTCAGGACAAACAGCTTTAAAAACAGCCCTGGAAATGTGCTTTGCTCAGTACACAGCACCAGCAGCCTGGGGACAGACACAGCCAGGAGCAGAACACCAGGGAGAGCCGGACAGACAGACAGACAGACACTGCTGCATGCTCCCCGTGTGGCACAAACCAACCAGTTCCTGGCCACCATCCCCCATGGTAGCCAAACACCGAGAACAGAACAGATTTGGTCTTAAAATTTTAACACAAAGGAATAACAAAAGCATTTCTGCCAAACCTGGGGCTCACAGCCCCAGTGTGAACCAAGAGCAGCCAAACAAAACAAATGTCAGCAGGACTTTTCCTTGCCACAACTTGGTATCTTGCTCTTAACTCAAGGTGAAAACCCAAGTTGCACCCTCAGACTCAGTACTGTAAAGCTGTCACTGGGGTTAGGGAGGGTGGTGGCACAGTGAAACTGCTCCTTCCATGATCCATTTAGAAATCCCATTACTTGCAGAGGAGAAGAAAGGAGGGACAGGGCTGTGACAAGGGCCAAGTGGCCACTGCCCTGCAGGAAGAGCTCCCTGTGCCACCCCCTCCACATCAGGACCTGTATGGCTTTCTCCCAGTAAAGCAGAGGTGTGTCCCCAGGGCACAGAGGCTCTGGCAGGGGCCACAGACACTTGGAGCTCCCCAGGATTGTTTGTGATGGCTCTGAAAGGCTGTGAGAGGGAAGAGCAGCCCCTCACCTGCCAATGGATGCATTAGGCACGGAGCAGAGTGGGGGCAGAGGGTTCTTCCAGCTCATTAAGGCACTTCAGCATCAATCCTCTGCAGTCTGAATCACTGCCCACTCCCAGTGCTGTTTCAGGGGGACAAAAGGCTTAAGGCTTCTGGGGTAACAGTGCCCAGGGGGATCATTTCCAGGGTCTTTTAGTGTTGCTTTATTCCTCAACTCATGCTGGCTGCTGAGACACTGGTTGCATTACCTGAGGAAAGCAGGTCCTGCTCCAGCAATCCAAGGCAGTAGCACCTCGATGTAAATGCCAGGAGTGGAACTGGCACACCTGCCTGCCTGTGGAATCCAGGTTTCCCACAAACACTCTGACAACCCTCTGGTCCCACAGGACCTGCACAGGGAGGTTATCAGCAAGACCAGGGCATAGATTTCCTTTTAGCCATTATTTTAACCGTCACACTTGCATGTTCAGCATTTGACATGCCCGGAAGGCAAGTCAGAATCCATCTCCCAGCAGCAGAGACCACAGCAGCTCCAGCAAACACAGCATAAAACACAATCCACAAGATCAAAGCTACTGCGAAGCCTGACACCGAAGCCCTGAATTATCCCAGTCAGCAGCTGAACACTTCTGGCAACAATCCCCCCGATTCCTCACAGATCAGATAAGTCACACATCCTGTACCCGAGCAGAGGGATGGTAAAGTGCTGAATAGGTTTAGGGTTGTAGGAGCACAAACTCCTGAGAGTTTCAAGTCTTCATTCCCTGTCTTACTTTGGGAGTTTCTTTACTGGGTGATGCAGTTGTCTCCCATGTCCTGAGCGTATCTGTCAGATATTGCAGTCCTCAAGTCCTCCACCTCTTTGTGAAGCTGTTTTACCTCCACCAGTTTCTTGGCCAGTCCATCAGGGCTGAGCAGGTCATCCTTCTCCTTCACAGGGTGCTGCACAGCTGTGAGGTCAGAGAAGGGAGTTTCCTCACATGCAGTTCTCAGCAAGGATCACACACATTTGCAAATCAGCCAGAAAAACCAACTCACATTTGCAAAAGAGGTTCTACTTAACATTCAGCTATTACAACATGCACCTTTGAAACAAACCAACCACAGAAAGAGCATTCAGAAGCCCAGGAAGAGACTTTCCATGCTCTACGTGAGTTATTTAATTCTGCCACAGCACAGGAACAGAAGGGTTTGTCCTGCCATCGCTCAGAAGGAAATGTACTTACAGTGAATGCCCAGGAGCAGAGAGAGGTTGGGGTCCTTGCCCTGAGCCCTCTGGGTGACAATGCTGTAGACAGACTGCAAGTCCTGCAGGCAGCTGGCCAGCTCGCCGTGCAGCTGCTGGGCCAGGCGGGCGGTGTCAGCAGGCAGGGGCTGGGCTGTCAGCTGGGCCTGCCGGAGCCGCTCCTGCAGCGTCAGGTTCTTCTCGATCAGCTCCTGGTTCTGCACGGACAGCTGGACACACGGACAGGCGCGTCAGCGGCGGCGCTGCCGCGCTGCACGCGCCTGCTCGGGGCAGGGAGCAGGAGGGTGTGGGTCTCAGATTCAGGCAAAGAGAGAAACGGAGAGTTTCTAGCCAGGCAGAAGCCTGGGAAAGAGCTGGAGAAGAATGTAAATAATTCTCGATCTCTCTTGTTATTCACATTGTTTATAGTGAAGTTCTATCACTGTATATCAAGCACTTTGCACCAAAGTGGGTTGTTTTCACTTCAGGACCTCACGAAGCTCTGTATAAAAGAGCAGTATATTTTGAATAAACCAGAGTTTTATTCTCACAGCCTTCTGATCAGAGTCTCTTCATTCCTGTCCTGCCTCAACAGCGACAGGAGGGCAGGAGCTGTTTGCATCCAGCCATGGCCACAGCAGCCAAAGTCACTGCCACATGGCCCCGTGAAGCTGCATGCTCCTGCCCCAGTGCAGTACAAGTTCCTGCAGGTGCTGCACCCCAGCAGTGCTCCTGCTTGCCTCGAGGGCCGAGGCTGTGCTTGGACTCCTGTGCTGCTGCCCTCAGCCTCCTCCATCCCATCCCCATGAAGCTCCCAAGGCACAACCTGCTTCTCCTGCTTCTCAGCAGAGCACAGCTCCTCTCACAGCCCTGACAGGAGAACTGACTAGCAGGAAGCAGGAGAGATTGAGCTGCTGACTAAATTCAGGGCCTTGCTCAAAGGCAATCCATTTTTCCTTCAGTGCTACACCCAAACACCCCCTGACCTCTTTCACAGCAGCCCGGAGCTGCTGCAGAGCATTTTCCCTTCTCATCGCCTCCTCTTTCAGAGCTTGGCTTGTCCCCTCTTCCTGGGCCACCTGTTCTTGCAGGTTCTGGAACAGACCACGGGAGCACAGTAAGCCTAACTCATTTCACAGCATGTTCTCAAATCCCGGGTCCCTCCCCATCGCCTCTCACCTTGACTTGCAAGGATAACTGCTCCATCTTCTTCTGCTTTTTGTCCACAATCTGGAATTAAAAGCAGAGGCATCAGAAGTGGCCACCCAGATCCAGTAATAACACCAGGAATTCTCCTGCAGTAGGACAGCATCTCCTCTCCTTCTCCCTCCTGTCCATTTACTCATTTACTGCTTTAATCACATATGCTCTTAGGAGTGGACTTGGATAAAAGGCACCATTAGATTTATCAGCTAAAACCAGACATTGTATTCTTGTGGTTTTCCTCTTCCCTCTTCTGCATTCTACAGCTTCTCCCCAGCATTACTGGAGAAGTGTGTGGTTATCACATCAAGAACAGCTTTTGGAACCCCCCTGCAGTCTGGAATTCCAGGAACTGCTGCTTCAGTGCAGTTGTGTCTTTCAAAGTCCCCGATTTCATCCGAGTGCCTGGTGTGACTCAGTGGAAGGAGAAAAGTGTGATTCCTGACTGGG